TTTTTTTTTTTTAATAATTGCAGTAAAACATACATAGCATTAATATTTCCACTTTAACCATATTTAAACGTACAGCTCCGTGGCACTAAATACATTCACACTGTTGGGCAACCTTCACCACCATCCATCTCCAGAACTCATTCATCTTCCCAAACAGAAACTCTAAACCCATTAACTACAGTCCCCCATTCTTCCTTTCCCCTCACCCCATTAACTCAAATCTACTTTTTGTCCAAGTGAATTCGCCTATTCTAGGGACCTCATAAAAGTGAATTCAAATGACATTTGTCTTTTTGTGTCTGGTTCATTTCACTACGTATGTCTTCAAGTTTCATCCATGTTGTAGAAGACTTCCGAAATTAATTTAAAAATAATTAATATTTAAAACCTATTAAGACCTATTAAAAGTAATACAGGCCAGGCATGGTGACTCATGTCTGTAATCCCAGCACTTTGGGAGGCCGAGGCAGGTGGATGGCTTGAGCCGAGGGGTTTCAGACCTGCCCAGGCAACATGGTGAAACCTCATCTGTACAAAAAATTATCCCAGTTTGGTAGTGCATGCTTGTAGTCCCAGCTACTTGCAACACTGAGGCAGGGATATTGCTTGAGCCCAGGAGTTGGAGGCCAGCCTGGGCAACATAGTGAGACCCCCATCTCTAAAAAAGTAAAAAAAACCAAATAAATTTACAACTAAATATAAAAAGTGATACACAATCTATTTCTTAAAAACAATGAAAATATCTTTTAATAAGGTATGAATAGAAGAGATATTTACTTGATAGGAGATATTTACCAGAGTTCTACAGTAATAATCAGTTTTTCTCTTTTTTCATTTTCTTTTCTTTTCTTTTTCTTTTTTTTTTGAGACAGGGTCTCCCTCTGTCACAGGCTGGAGTGCAGTGGTGGGATCTCAGCTTACTGCATCCTCAACCTCCCAGGCTTAAGTAATCCTCTCACTTCAGCCTCCTAAGTAGCTGGGACCACAGGCAAGTGCCACCATGACTGGCTAGTTTTTATATTTTTTGTAGAAATGGGGTCTTGCTGTGTTGCTCAGGCTGATCTCAAACTCCTGGGCTCAAACAATCCTGCCTCAGCCTCCCAAAGTTGTGGGATTACAGGCATGAGCCACTGCACCTGGCCCATAGTATTTCTATAAGATTTGTAAAGATTATAAAAACTCATATTCATATTCCCCCAGCAAAATACCTTTTTTTTTTTTTTTTTTTT